TTCTTTAGCATTATCAGGAATGTAATTGTTCTATCTATAGAGGTGTTAGTATTATACTAAGTGAGTTGCATTGACATTTTGTAGCCTCCAAATAAAAAGAAAAAAGAGAAAGAACGTTGCACAGCTCTTCAGGATAAGCTTCTTGAAGAGGAGAAGAAGCAGCTGGAGCATGTGCAGAGGGTTCTGCAGAGACTGAAACTAGAGAAGGATAACTGGCTTCTGGCAAGTAAGTGTGTGTAGGGGAAACACTCTGGATGTTTTTGTAGTCATCACTGTCCCCAGAACTAAAAGTTCAGCTTCCATTGATACTCTTAATATTGACTTTAAAATGTGATCTCTTTATATGTTGACATCTGTTAGCAAGGTAAACTTTTAATTAGAAGGTAATGTGTCTTTGCAGCAAGTGCTGAGTAGTTGGTTTTCAGGGAGATGTTTTGTTTGTTTCTTGCAATGTTGAGACCTTTTAAATATTGTTTAATTTAATTTAATAATTAAAAATTTAGAAAATAAATAAGACTGATCAACTCAGTGGAAAGTTGTAATTGCAAGATGGCTTGCACTTACTTACTGCAGTTAGAATGCTGCTAAGTTAGGATAATTACAACATTGCAGGAAATAGGCATGTAAACTCTCAATAAGTGGTTTCAGTTAACTTACTCTGAGTCCTGTGATTAGGAGCAATCTGCCAGTATTTGAACAGTAACATTAAACCCTGTTCCAATTACGAGGTAAGTATTGTGCCAGCCTGTCAGCACCACAAAATGAAGCAGCATGCAAATGTTTCATATGGCAGATACACAGGGGACAGAACAACCTTTTTTCTCTGACAAAGCCTCTGTAATGTTTCATATTGATTGTGAACTCTACTAGTATGGTTAATCTGAAATGTTTTTCTCTGGTCAGTTTTTTTCTCTGGAAGAACTTTCAGTTTGTAACTTGGAAGTAGTTGTTCGTCTGTCCCCAGGAGCCTAGCATAATCCAGTGGAAAAGCGTTTTATTGTCCGACTCATGTAAGATACACCCAACTGATTTAATGAAGAAACAATGACAGTTAAATCAAGAATGGTTATTCCCTATAAATATTTAATGTACTGGTATGGACAGCTAATTAGCTACATGAAATTACTGGTTGGAAAATTACTACCCGACTGAAGGTTGGTCTAGAGTTGACTGATAAATTTGTCTGCTTAAGAAAGCACCTAAAAGTGTGTAGAAAATTGTTTGTGTAGATAGGATCTGTATATAAACATGTGCTCTTAATGATACAGGTATTTGTGGGGTATGGGGAATAGCTTATTGTTGGCTCTTGAGTGCTCAGGCTTCAGCTGCAAGAAGTTTCCCAGCATTGCATCCAGAGACAAACAACTTTTTCAGCAGTTCCCTATTGAAAGAAAATATCTGTAATTGTGCTATATGAGGAAATTGAACAGCATCCACTGTAGTAGTATTTTTTTATTATTTAATTTTTTTTTTTTAAAAAGACTGGCTTCTTGTGTAGACTCTTTCAATACTGTAGTTATTAAGAGTAGGTTAATTTTTGGCAGAATTTTTGGCAGACTGGTAATTTTAACAATTGGAAACTAGCTATTGTGACTGACTGCTTACTTGCTTTACTTTTACACTTTTGAAGTAAAACTTACTGGATTGTTCTGTGAGCTGTGATTCTCTTGGTTTATTTTTTTCTGTCTCAAAGGCTTGTCTTAACCTTTGAGGGGTAGATAGTAAAACTAAATAGAATCAGCATGAAATTTTTAGTTAAGTAAAAGCTGATAGTCCTTTCTTGAACAAGCTTTATTCCATGAGCATCACAGAGTCGAAGCAAGTAAATCCTGGGTCTTACAACTTGTGCCCTGCAGCCTGTGCCAGAATCCCAGTGCAAAAACACCAGTTGCCCTCGTGAGGATCATGACTTTTCTTTCTCTGAAGGCATCTTTTTGCAGTCTTCAGTTCTGTGCTTTCATCCATACGTTTATTTTCTTCCTGCCTTCCTTTTGTGCTGTACATCCCTCTCAGCTTTTTTTTATCCTCTTTGTTAACTGGGCAAGAGCTGCCACGGGACTAGTTTGGGTATGTGTTTGGCTGTTGTGTTGACCAACGAGTGGTTGGTCATATGGAATGGGTAACCGTTGAGTGTACAGTGCAGTCTTTCACTCAGTGGTAGAATGAAACTTTCAAAAAACGTGTGTGGTTTGGGGTGGTGGTTTACTGAAGACCGTTCCTCTATTTAAAATTCCTGTAATTGTTTGGTTGCTTGGAAAAATGATCATTAATGGATTGTATATAGACAGCATGTTCTTCCTTTTCTAAGGAAATGGGGTTGAAAGTCAGCCCCATCTAGAAAGGAGAAAACAAGCGTTCTAGAGAAAGAGCAGATGGTATTCCTTACGCTAGTGTGCAAAACTCGAGCAGTTGAAGTTTACCAAAGTTTTTTCTGAGCCTTTTTTCCCCCTCTTGTGTAATAGAAGAGTTTTCCTAATAAGAAATAAAGATTTGCTACAACCACCTTCCTACCCTCCCCTTCATCCTCAAACAGTTAAGCTTATTTTGACTTTTTCAGAGCAGTGCCAAAGCTATGTCTGAAATAAGAGCGGCCTAATGTACAAACTCAAGAGTATGGATGTGTGATACTGAACTTCTTGGGAAGAGAGTAGTTGAGTGTTAACCCACTAACTTACTTTCTTTCTTTTTTTCTCTCAATTTCTTTGTTTTTGAAGAGTCCACCAAAAATGAGACTATCACAAAATTTTTGCAGTTATGTATATTTCCTCGGTGCATTTTTTCGGCAATCGATGCAGTTTATTGCGCTCATTTTGTAGAACTGGTGCATCAACAGAAAACACCTAACTTCTCCACGCTTCTCTGCTATGACAGAGTAAGTAGCTAGAACTGTATGTGTGTATGTACTTACTAATACGAGCATGCAAAACTAGTATCCCTCTCGCCTTACAAAATACATAAACAAAATGTTTACCTATGTTTAATTCTAGAGTCTGTGACAATCAAAGTTCCATTTTGTACTTCAGATTCTACAAACCAAGTTTTCCTAGAGCTTCAGCAGTTTAATTGCAAGGAATTTTGCTTTTGATTTATTCTAATGAGACTGGAGTTCCAGAGCAAAGTCATTAGCAGTTACAGGAGTTCTCTTCAAGTTTTGCAACCTTCCAGTGGTCTGCATTTCTACAGCCTTATCTAACCCTCCCATTTTAGCTGTGTGTGCCCTACTGCTGTAGTATCAACTGTCTTATACTTGGCCCCCCCACAAACCAGCATCCTTAGGACCCTTCTGACCCTGGCAAATGGTACTACAGACAGTGGACTAATTTGTATCACTGCTGAGACATGGGAAGGGACTCCCAGCGTAACATGGGGGAGTACTTTTGATAGCAGTCACTGCCTGACTTTCTGGGTCAAACAGGGCAGTTGGAGGAGGAGGCTTTTGTTCAGGCTGTTCTCCCTGTTCACATAGCCATTCTTTTTCTCCTGTGGAGGAAAAAGGTGGAGAATATAGATGGAAGAATCTTGCAGGACGCATTCAGCTCCAGGAGTACCAGCTGACAGTACTGTTCTGGGGTATCAGAACCAGTCTGGCGCTTACTGCTATAAGAGGTCAAATTATTAAGTTATCTGTATTAAGTCAGCTGTACAGTTAAAACAGTTTTGACTATGAGCTTTGATTAAAAGGATGTATATGGGACTTGATTGTAAAAAATTATGGTGAAGATTGTTTCCATATGAATATTCAATTAAGATTGTCTGTTTTCCTTTGAGATGAGACATTTGAAGTAGATATCTGCTTTGATTTCATGGGTCCCAAAGAGCATTCTTACTTGAACATTCAGTCCATGTTCTAGGTGACAAAAGTGGACAACTGCATGAGCCCTATATGATGAACCTGTGCAGGCCATGAAAAAATTGTTTTGCATCAATTTGGCTAGATGTTTACTTCTATGTGCTCAAATAAATTGTTAATTTGAAAGCAAAACAATTATATGCCAATGAAGACATGCTTTAACTATGGAAAACTATGTGTCAGCAGCAGCTATATGCAGTGCTTAGATTCTAGGCTATGATCTCCTTTATGTTTAGAAACCAGCTTAATGGTGGTTTAGATCAGAGAAATTTGAAATTCTTGGTGGTGGTTCTTCTTTTTGTAATTAAGTAAAGTCGTTGTAACTTTTTATTACTGTTATTTGCAGGTTTTCTCTGATATTATATATACAGTTGCAAGTTGCACTGAAAATGAAGCTAGTAGGTATGGCAGGTTTTTATGCTGTATGCTGGAGACTGTGACTAGATGGCACAGTGACAGAGTCATATATGAAAAGGTATGTGAAGCTATTAAAGTTAGTTTGCTCGTGAAAATATATAATGGCCACTTGTGTAATTTGGCCCAATAAAAATAGATTTAGTGAAATCGTTAGATTTAAAAAACACTGTGTGATTGAATTTTTCCAATGGTGTAATCTTAGAATTGAGTTCCTGTAATTCATGTAGTTTTAATAGAAGAAATTTTGTATAGTGTAAAAAAAAAAAAAAAAAAAAAAGGGCAGCTAAAAAATCTTACATTTCTGCTTTTCTCATAGCTTGTTTTAAAGATACTTTAGGGAGCATATGGAGACTCTCATAATGCTCCTTGCAGAAGCTAGTTAAATTAAGAATAATATTTTCTCTCACTAATAACTCAGATTTCAACATAAATAAGCTTCTAAAAAGAAAAGTATACGTGTAAGTCTTGTAAAATGTGATTATGTCTTAGTCTTTAGCAGAATCAGTGAAAAAGTGCGTCAGTTATCATATTAACTTTATACTTCCCAAAAAATATTTTTCCTTTTTTTTTCTTCCTACACTCTTATGTAGGAATGTGGCAACTATCCAGGCTTCCTAACTATATTACGGGCAACTGGATTTGATGGTGGAAATAAAGCTGATCAGTTGGATTATGAGAATTTTCGACATGTGGTACACAAATGGCACTATAAATTAACTAAGGTAAATAAAGATGAAGAAAAACCTTAGGCTTTTGGAAGCTTTAATTAAAAAAACCAACTTCATTAGATTTAATTTGTGTTCTAGGCTTCTGTGCACTGCCTTGAAACAGGTGAATATACACATATCAGAAATATCCTGATTGTGCTGACCAAAATCCTTCCATGGTATCCAAAAGTGCTGAACCTGGGCCAAGCCTTGGAAAGAAGAGTGCACAAGATATGTCAAGAAGAGAAAGAGAAGAGACCTGATCTATATGCATTGGCTATGGGGTAACAACACCTTACTTTAAGAAAGTGGTTAAAAGTGGATCATGAAAGGCTTCTAAGGACTCGGAACTGTTATGGTCCTAACATTTGATTTTTACCTTATCACAGAAGATTTCGATATCCTGCGTCTCGGGGCTGGCAGTGTGAATGAAAACTTTCATTTTGTGCTGGATGATTACTAATTTCCTTTACAAGACTCTAGTAAAACTCTTTAAATAGTAAAGATTTCCACTCACAAGAGCATAGCTTAATTTTAGAGAAATAGTATAGCAGTAAGTAGATAGGAGGGAGAGTAAAATGAAGAAAGCCAAGGGCTATTGATGCAAGACCACTTAGAGTTTTGGAAGTTTATGTGATTCTAAAATGCTAAACTAAAATGCTTAGTTATGTTTTACATCTTTCTGTGATGAATGCAAAATCATCCACGTATGCTTGAGGGGCAATTCAGGTTGCCCTAAGAGTTTTAAATTTTGTTAGTAGGCTGTTTCTTCTGTGTGTTTGGGAGGTGTGTGTGGTGGTGAAGAGGGTGTGGAGGTCGGGCTTCTGTGTCTAGTAGGTTGGTGTTTTTTGTGTGTTTGGTGGTTGTTTTGTGTTGTGTGGTTTGGGTTTTTTTTGTTTGGGTTTTTTTTTTTTTACTTTTGAGCTCATCAATAAAGGGGGAAGAAACTGCATATCAGTTGGGAAAAACTGTGAAATAAATAACAGATGAACTGTTAGATTAGATTCTCATTAAAAATTCAACCAATGTTTTGCTTTATGTTTGTGCATATTTAACAATCTGTGCGACTTGCAGCTATTCTGGGCAGTTGAAAAGTAGGAAGCCTTTCATGATACCTGAAAATGAATTCCACCACAAAGACCCACCTGCCAGGAATGCTGTAGCTGCAACAGTACAAAATGGGCCAGGTGGTGCTGGGATGCCTACATCTCTCACAATAAATACGGTTAGACTGGAAGAAGGCACTACTGAGGAGACTGGTAAACAAACCTATGATTATGGTTTTTTTAGTAGAATTCTTCTGACATTACAGGCTACTGTCTCAAAATTTGACTCATTAAACTGAAAAAAAGTCTAAATGGGATGCTAAATAGGATCAATGTGTGTTCTTTATTGGTTTTGGGAGAGGGTGTTTTGTATTTAGTTACCTATTTTAACTGTTAGCTAAACATGATCTTACATCAATATGCTTAGGTACTTGTTTTATTTTAGCCGATAGGATGTATATTAACTTGCTGAGATAAAGCTGTTCTCTGTTTTTTTTTTTTTTTTTTAAAACACAGATAAACTAAAGGAGAAGTCTCAGGGTGTGGTGAAAGTTATTAATAAAGCTGTCAACGCTACTCCAAAAGTGACAACAAGCAATGGAAACAGTGCTTCTAATAGGTAAGAAAAACTACACTTTGACATTCTTTTTCTTCCTTCCAAACCATAGAATTATACTTGAAACTGACCTACCTGTTCTTTTTTAATTTCAGATTCCATATAAATTGTTTCAATTTCTTCAAAGTTTAATAAGTGAGATTATTTCTTCCAAAATATATAGCTCTACTGATCTGACAGTGTTGTTAAATGGATTCCATTTTAGCTAAATAAAGATAAAACAAATGATAATATTTGCTTGTTGCTGTTCTGATAGAGAGACAGCAAATCTGAAATCTGACAGTGACTGCTTCAGGAGATTCTATCAAACCATCAGAAATAAAACTTTTGTGACAAAACTAGAGCTGGTTTTGTATGCATGCTAATTGGCCTTTTTATTTTTGATGCAGCAAAATTATTAAAGAAAAAGATGATAAAGAAAAAAGTGGGAAGGAAAAAGATAAAGAAAAAAAAGACAAGACTCCAGCTGCCACTCCAGAGATGAAGGCACTTGGGAAGGATGGAAAGGATAAACCAAAGGAAGAACGGGCAAACAAAGATGATAAAGCACGAGAGATCAAGGAGAAAACGCCAAAATCTGACAAAGAGAAGGAAAAAGTGAAGAAAGAAGAAAAAGCTTCAAAAGAAGAAAAATCCAAGACAGTTGTTACCATCGTTGAGTCAAAGTCAACTGCAGAAAAGGAGAGAGAAAAGGAGCCGTCCAGAGAAAGAGATGTAGCGAAGGAAATGAAATCCAAGGAAAATGCTAAAGGAGGAGAAAAGGTGCCAGTAGCTGGGTCCTTGAAGTCACCTGTTCCCAGATCAGAAACATCAGAATCTGAAAGGGGTAAGTTTGCATATTTAATTTCTATTCTTGTCTAGAAAAATAGAATGTGTCACTGGAAAAAAAAAATCCCAGAATGACAAAAAGTGCTAGAGATGATGAGAAAGAATTGCTACATAATAGCTAGCATTTTGGCATTGGCTTTTAAATATAGTTAGCACATAAAGTAGGTAGTCAGGATATCTCCAAAAGGTGAACTGTGTGAACTTCACTTGTCTTCAATGAGTGCTCATTTTCATAAAGCCTATCATTTTTTAGTGTAAGTCTCAATGGTCTTTTAATAAATGTATTTGTGTAACTGTGGCCTTGCAAGTTTAGCAAAAATTCAATGCAAAAACCTCGAGAGTGTACTCTGAGGGTTTCAACATAACCTTTGAACTGAAAGAAAACAGGGGATGCGGAAAATGTAGGCCTTCGTGTCCTTAAAAAGGACACAGTAAGCTTTATCTGTTCCTTCTTATATTAAGGGTTAACAAGTCCTTAGTGTTGATATTTTAAGTTCTTATAATCTGAGGCTGATGTTGAGTTTTATCGTTGTACTGCTTTAGGCAAACCAAGTAAAGAAGGGTTGTAATGCTTTTCATTGGGTTTACCTTTTCAGGGTCTTCATTGCAACTGTGAAATTCAGATACAGACTTCCATAAATGGAAGTTTGAAATGAACATCATTTTGTAGCAGTTTGTTCACATCACACTTTCCCTGCAAACTTTCATAGAGGGTCAAGGCATGCTGGCAACCCTAGATAGCTTAAGAAACACAAAATTTACATAGTGGTAATACTTGAATTCTAGCTTAAATTATTTTGGTACTTCAGAAAGCTCTATTATTAAGATTATCCTCTTTTAAATGTATTTTAATAGTGCTATTGCTCTTTTCTCTTCTCAGAACAAAAACGCCGCAAAGTTGATACACATTCTTCTCCATCACATTCCTCAACAGTAAAGGTTAGTATAGCCTGAGGAAGGCAGCGCCCATGTTAGGCTCACAAGTTTGGGATGCCAATGTTCGACTTCCTTCAAGTTTTGTGCCAAGTATACACTGGAACCACTGGAGGTTTTATGTTGCATTAGAAAATGCATTCCTTTTCTTTATTGGCGGACTCTCTTTTTTTCTATTAAAAATATTTTTAATTAACCAAAATAATGCTTCAAGGACCTAGCACAAATTTTGTAAATAGTGTTTGGAAATTGCAAGAGAATTTTTACACAGAAGTGCCTCATTGTTTTAAGCAGTCAGTTTTTTTGGAGTGCAATGGTAGCTACAAGCAAATGAGTCTTTGCAGCAGAGTGGAGCATATTTTTCTGCACTTCTATTGAAGAATCTATAGCACTGAAGATTCCTGGATGATACGGGATGTACGATACCTCTGAATTCATCAGGCTTCTTGATGAGCATCATACCGATATGTGCCTTCTAAGGAGGAGTCTTGAAAGGAGTTCCATTTTAAAGTCTCCTTGGTGATCAGTTCTCCTGTAGTTGTGTATATTCAGTGCGCATGCAGCTTCTGTTGTACCTTCCCTTCGAGGTTTGTTTATTTCCAATGGGTTCCCACCGTGTTGAGCCCTGCGTTACGATAAAACCAGATGTGGCAACCAAGCCTACTACCCAGCAAAGAGAAACCCCAAGCATTCAAGCGCAGCACAAAACCATGGGCGTAGCCTACTTGAAGACTCAGGGTAGCCATTCCTTGCTCCATATTTATTTTATTTCTAAACCATCTATGTTCATGGAATCTTTGAATTTGCAGTACGTTGAACACTTAAAACTGTAAGTTACTAATACTTCATCAAGAGCACTGTGATGGATTATGTGGGCCTTTAAACTTCACCATCTCACCAACTTTAGAACAAGCTTTTCTTTTTTTTCCAGTTTTTCAGAGTACATCTTTTTCTATGTAAGATTTACTTGAAAGATTTGGGCTAATTTTGGACAACTCGAATAGCTGTTACTAGTTTTGAAGCAGCAGGTGACAACAATAACTACTTAAATGACAAAGTTTTTCTTGCCTGTTTTTTGTAAATGGCAATGTAAAGTCATTCTAGAGTGACTTCTACCACACTTAACCAAAAGTGGAGAAGATACAGGTTTAAAAACATTTTAAACCTGTTTCACCTGTGGTTCAGTTGTATGTAGAGTTAAGACTATTTTTTCTTTATATTTTGTCTTGGCGGGAGAGTAGTTTTTTTTCACTGCTTTATGGAAGAATTAGATATAAATACATTTTGTAGTTTACTTAATAATTGGGTCTAGAAGTAGATATGACTGTCTCTTTTTTTTTTTTTCCCTTCTTTCTTTTAAAAAATTTCAGTTCCTAGCTTTATTCAGTGTACAGTATTAACATAAAATTTATTCCAGAAGGAGTAGCTGTTTTTTGTTTCAAGGGTACGGCCATGCTTCCCAAAGTTCCTCTGGTTTCTGAAAACTATTCCAGCTTACGTGTCATCTCCATTCATTTTCTACAGGACAACCTCAACGAACTCAAGGACTCTTCAGCAAAGGTTTGAATCTTTTAGACACCACCAAAGTTTACTTTCATGTTTTGTTGCAGAGCGAGCTTAACTTTTTGATCTTGTGGCAAACCGCATCAGAAAGTTCAAATTCCATTCCTGTAAATGCTAGTCTAGCAACAGAGGGGGTTTTTTCAGTCTGTTACATAGAACCTCTGTACAGGAGAGAGGGATGGTTTTGTGGAAGCAGCATAACAAAAATCCCCTGAACTTACCATTCTGTCAATATTTTTCAGATTTTGAGTCAGTATCTTTTCTGATCTTCTTAAACTTGTAAATTTATAGAAATGTCTTTATGATTAAGCCGTTTATTTGGCTGAAGAGGTAATAGAATAGTTAAAATAGTTCTTAGAATAGTTAGTTCTTTTTTTGATACCAGTTAAAAAACAGTAGTTATTTAACACCAAAAATATTTAAGACACATCTCTGGCATATCAGTACTCTTTTTTTTTTTACTACTGTTGTATTCATGTTTTAGTGTTATAGTACTATATTTCTAAACATCACAGCATCACAGTCAACATCCTAAATGATCATCTTTGTGTTTGCTTCCTGTAAATGCACTTCAGATTCAGTATCTTGTGAGAATGTATGCTAAAGAATGCTTTCAAGAGATCGTAGAACCATAGAATACCAGGTTGGAAGGGACCTTAAGGACCTGAAAGGTCCAACCTTTCTTGGCAAAAGTATGGTCTAGACAAGATGGCCCAGCACCTTGTCCAGCCAAATCTTAAAAGTGTCCAGTGTTGGGAATCCACCACTTCCCTGGCGAGATCATTCCAATGGCTGATTGATCTCATTGTGAAAAATTGTCCTCTTGTGCCCAGTCAGAATCTCCTCAGGAGTAACTTGTACCCATTGCCCCTCGTCTTTTCCATGTGACTCCTTGTAAAAAGGGAGTCTCCATCTTCTTTCTAACCACGCTTTAAATACTGGAACATGGTGATAAGGTCTCCCCTAAGCCTTCTTTTCTTAAGGCTGAACAAACAGTTCTCTCTGCTTTTCCTCACACAGCAGAGGATTCCTTTGAGGATCATTCTGGCCCTTCTCTGGACCATCTCCAGCCTGTCCACATCCTTTTTTTATTTTTTTTGTATAGTGGGGACCAAAACAGAACACCATCTTCCAGGTGTGGCCTGACAAGTGCCGAGTAGAGTGGGGATATGAGTTGAATGACACTTTGGAATATGGTATTTTAGACAGATTCTGCAACTATTCTGTTGCGTGTTTTTTTTTAAACTCAACTACTTGCATAGTAAGAGTCACAAATACCGTAAACTTGCTAATATATTAGGGTATGTGGCTAATAGGAAACAAATCAAACCTTCTAAAATTGCTGTTAAGATTTTTGATTACGTAGTCAGTATCAATGTATAACTAAATAGCACAAATGTTTATCACTTGGAAAATGCTGATCATTTGGACTTTCTGGATAACTTACGGGTTTATCTAGGATTACTTACATTTACTTAATTTAAAAACGTGTAATGGATTATCACTTCCTATTCTACATTTACAGTGCTGTTTTACTTGTAGCTGTCTTTGTATAAACAAAATGTTCAGGACACTTTATATATTTTAATTCAAAGTAGCTCTGATTTTATAATGGACATTTGCTGATGGGTTTTTTAAATTTAATCTTTCCAGTACGAACCATACTACTTATAGGGGAGTGTATATAGGAAACATCCTTTGATTTTTACAATTGATGAATTTATAGTGTCTATAGATTGAATCCATATACTTCCAAAAAATGATTTATAAATCATTGTCATGATATCTTGTATATTTAAGTTTTTTGAAATTAGAAAACTATAATACTTGTCTTGAGCTCACATCTATCTGAAGTGTGGTATATGGTAGTCTGTATAATCTCGCTTTTCCCTCCCTTACTGTATTAGTCAAGGTTCAACTGGTTAACTGAAATTTCACTCAAGTTTTCATTAGTTAAGCTAAATTTTTGTTTAAAACTATGTATTTTACTTATTAACACATTGTGTCAAGCAGACAGTGGAGCTATTTGTAATTGAATGATCAACGAACAGCTTTATTTGAAAAGTTAGTGTTTGTATAGACTTAGGTGGAAGCGTATTGCAGTTGTACGACTTTTTCATGGATTTATTGTTTATTAAGTGCTTGGGGGATGGGGAATGTCCAGCCCTTTTCTTCCTCTTCTAAATGCTGGTGTTTATTCTTTCTCATTTAATGAACTAATTTTCATTTGTTGGTGCCATTCTAACAGATTTAAGGCACATCTTCACAATGTTCCCTATACATGGTGTAAAACAAGTTAAATGCTCTTCTTTACTGCCATGTACTTGTTTGGGGAAAGGATGGGATATTCAGAAGCCTGTAAGATTTATGAGTTCAGCTTCCACTGACCACTGAAAGTAGAAGTCTAGTGCTGTTGTATGCTTCAGACTTTGTTTATTCCTGACTTTGCCTAATTTCTGGGGCCAGACCATTGAAATGTTGGTTTACGTTGCAGGTTATAAAATAAATGGTGCCAGAGTTGAGTTAGGTTTGTGTTTATTCTTGCTTTGGCCTTTGCCCAAGTTACACAATGTAGAATAGTGCCCAAAATTTGATGTGGCTTCAGTTAGCAGCATTTCTAGAAGCAAGTTAATAATGATGAGCTAAATCCAGCCTTTTGTTGTAAAGGGGGGCGGGAGGGATGCAGTCTTCCAAAACTCTGCATTGGAATGGTAGAACAACAGTGGAATCTCTCATCAACAACCGTGTCAATTTAAGAAATGGAATAGGAGAAAGCAGAGCTATGTGTTTGCTTTCTCGCATGGAAAGCATCTGTGGGAGACAACTGAATAGGGCTGTGTAGAAGAAAACGTATTTGCAAGTCACTGTTAAAAGCTGACAGCAAAAAAGGGAGCAAGGATAAATTTACTTGTGAAATGGCAATGTAGGAAATGGAACAAGAAAAGAATAGTCAGGGAAAAGAGCAAAAAGAAAAAGTATCCAGTGAAAGGAGTATTGGAGGTTCCGTCTCTGGTGTAGGAGGATAATAAAAGTCCAGTTAAGTAAAAAAAAAGAAGAGAGACCTAACATTGTCAGTGTGACTTTTAACATAGGACCAGTAACATCAAGTTTTGGTAAGTTAAACGTTTACCGGAACTGGAGGAGGACAGGATTAATTTAATGAAAAGAATAAAATTATTTGAAACATACTTGGTTTGGTTCAAGTGATTTCTAGATTGTTCTAAACTAATCTTCCACTTACCTCTTTCTTTGGTGTTAAGTAAGATGTCTCTCTAAAAAGAAATAGAACAGTTTAATTAAAAGGTATTATTCCCCCCCCCAATAAAATTAATAGCTTATGGAACTGGGGAAAGATTAAAGTATACTGATTTAAATCTACGTGTTGCTGTAACATAAATATATAAAATACCAAGGAAAAGTGTTTTTAATTAAAAATGTGCTCTTATTGGTATTTTATGAAAAATATTTCTTAGAAAGATCTAACTATATAAATGTATTTAAAAAGACAGAATTAGTTACAGTAATGCATCAGTATTTATATAATACATGTGCTACCTTTTTATATATATATACACTCACAGTAGCGTGTAAACTTTGAGTGTTATACTTGATGTTACTGTGACTTATTTTCTATTCTCCTCCCCTGCGACCCCAGTTTATATTAAAAATATTCAGCTTTGTGAAACTAGTATGTTTTACAGAGCTTATCAAAATTGGTTAGAAGAGAGAGTGGAATAACAATCTAGAACACATTACAGAGCAGAAACAATTATTTGCTATGTTTTGCTGCTTTTATCATTTGAAGTCCAGGCTTAAGGTGGAATTGTATATTACTTTAGATGAAAAATACACATTATTGAAAGTATTGCCTTAAATACTTTGTGGATTAAGGTTATTCTTCAAAAATTAATTAGAACCTGTTTAAGCAGCTGATTCCATTTATTCATTCCAGGCATGATTGCAAGTGTTAAGTCAGTCCAGGAATCTGCATATCCTGTTTCAGTAGCACTGCTGTCTGATTTGGTTTGATGTATCAAACAATACTGGTGAACAATGTTATGTGTATTTAATATAAGTGTTTCAGTTAAGAGAAAGTGTTCTGGAATTTCCAGTGTTGAGAAAACAAAGCTATAGGTTAAATTATAGATGACAAATTTGAAAGTGTCTTCAATAGCTCTTTTTTGCTAGTAAAGTATTATATTTAATTTTGTTCTTTGAGCTAGATCTGTTTTGTTAGAGTAAGACTTCTTATTTACACATCTAGGAATACATATTAATATTTGGTGATATTGCCTTAATTTAACAGCACTACATTAACCACACTACTCCAACACTGTCCAAGAGTAAGGAGAGAGAAGTGGACAAGAAAGATTTGGACAAGTCAAGGGAAAGATCCAGAGAGAGAGAGAAGAAAGATGAAAAGGACAGGAAAGATCGAAAAAGGGTTGGTGAAATTTTTATGAACTAGTTTAGAAAGTTGGTATATACTTGAAAAGCTTTCTGTTCAAAGTCTTTGCAGTAATAATTGGTTGTACAGGCTATCCAAGCAGAAGTGATCCATATCAGTGTTGTTTTTCTTTTGTTCTGTTACTTTTTTTAAAGGTCAGTTTACAGTAATGTATTCAAAACTTTTTCCCTTCAAAACCGATTTCAAGGAACTTTACTCAACGTGTAAAAATTCAGTTACACTTTAAATACTCAAAAGTTCGTTCTCCCAAATAGCATTGTAAACGGGTGCTGCTTCTTGGAGTATATTTTAATCTGCTAACATCTGCATAATTGTATTTGGTGCCAGGATCATTCAAACAGTGACCGAGAGATACCACAGGATTCAACTAAACGACGCAAGGAGGAAAATGGGACAAGTACGTATTTTATTTTGTGTGTGTGTGTATTAGGTTTTTACTTGTTGTGAATTACAACTTTCTGTTGTGTTTTTAGCTGGTTCTTCAAAACATAGTAAAAGTGAAAGTCCTTCTGATTCTCCTCGCTTAAATGAAAAGGAGAAGGAGAAGAACAAATCAAAATCTTCAGGAAAAGAGAAAGGTGATTCAATTAAAGCAGAAAAGATGGAGAAGAGCTCCTCTGGTAGCAAAAAGGTAAAATAACCTATTTCCATTTTGTTAACTTGATTGTTTTGTTATTGTTGATGACAGAACAATCCCTTCTTTTTTCCTAAATTTTACTGCTGATTTACAGCCTAAATTAAAAAGATAGGCTGTGTATAGGAAAACGCTTCTGGAAATTCCGGTGTCTTGTGTCTCTAAATATTTCAGCAGTCACTCCTAGCAGGATGAGCTGGAGGAATAGTTCGTTTTGGCAGTAACCAGGAAAATTCAGAACTTTAGGTTTTGAATAATCTAGAATATTTGCAGGCTGGTTTGGTGAGCAAATTATGTGAAAGGGTTAATTTACATTTAAACTAGTCTGCTTGTATTCAGATTTTGAAGTGCATGTGTCAGCACTGCTTTTTTTGGTGAAAACAGGTAAGTATGTTGTAGTCATATTTGTAAAACACCAAACAGTAGTTCCCAGTTGTAACTCTTTAGTGATAGAAGTTATCATAGAACTGTAAGACAAAGTTAGAATAATCATGGAAATCGTAGAATCTGATTACTGTCATTATGACAGATGATTTTTTTAAGCTGTGGCCAGTTATAACTTCAAATGTGTATAATCCTTCTAAGCAGACTGTACAATATATACTATAGTAAATTATTGCCCATATGTGTATTTTTTAATTTAAAGGAATCAAGACATGATAAAGAAAAAACAGAAAAGAAGGAAAAACGAGACAGTACTGGAGGGAAAGAAGAAAAGAAACAATATCCTTTTACACATTAGTACTTCAGAAGAATACAGAAAATCAGCTTCCTCTTATTATGGGTAGTAAAATATGTTTTTTTTCCTTAACGTTGAATCTACTCATAAATCTTCAGACAAGCACAGATAATGAAGACTGTTTCAGTCAAAGTAAGACTTTTTATGATTTACCCTGTTTGACTTGATATCTTCCTGTGGCTCCTTTTGACTGGTAAATGATACACAAACAAAACAGCCTGAGTGTGAAAGGGCTGAGATTACCCAGGGTGGGTTTTGGGGGAAATTTTTTGGGGTGTTTTTTTTTGTTTGCTTGGGTTTTTTTTAATTCTGTCCCAGGGGAAAAAAAACAAAACCAATTTTCCCCATGATCAGCATAGAGATTGTATAGATACTCAAATTTTTTTTGCCAAAAAAAAAGGGGGGTGGGGGGTAGGAGGGTCAGCATTGTTTGGTGTAGTTGCACATTTGGCACTTTTTCAAAGAAAGATTGCCAGTAAAAACCAAAGGTGAATCCATGTGATCCTGATAGTCATCAGTCTTGATAATCTACTTGCTAATTAAGAATATCTTGCCTAATATGTTGGAAATGCAACTTTTGTATCCTCTTCTTATTTTAACAAAAGCACTAGCTTTTAAATCAAATTGTTCTATAGTGTAGTAAGTTCATTATCTCTGCTTAATTTTTATCTGATCAGATTTGAGAAGGAAGAAGCCAAAGGAAAACTTTTGCACAGAGGCATTGACTATTTGCAAAAAGAAAAGAAACTTCCGAGTATTTTGACTAACCTGTATTCAGACTGGAGCTTTTAGAAAATTGGAAATTTTGGAAAATTTCTTGCCTAATTTAGAGATAGTAACATTTTGAGGGGGTTGTACTTGTAAAAGAGTTTTTACCTTCACAAGTGACTACTTGTTTCTTATTTCTATGTTTAAATTAGTGTTTCGCTATTACAATGCAGTGCTCACATTAATATAGTTCTTGCTGTGGATTAAACTAGGTATAGGTAATGAATGACTGATGAAAATAATTCAAAGAGTGAGGGGGGAAAATAAAACTGTGAATGGAATAAAATGCTAAGTTGTGATATCAGTATTCATTTGAACATCATCTAATTCCAATTATGTATGCCTTTGTTGCAGGTGAGATTGAAATAAGAAGATATCCAGCTGTGACCAGAAATGTATTTTCCAGAGTATAGATTGCACAGAAATTTGTGAATGAAGAGGACCCATCTGCATCTCCTTAAATTATTCAGTTCTCTGCTTTATTTCCCCATGCTAAAGATTTAATTGTTGAGTTGTACATTACTGTATTTTAACTTGTTGCTTAGTTTCTTACACATTTATTTTCAGTACCTGGCTGAAAGTGTTACCTATTCCATATTTTAGCACAATGTGCTGCAAACAAACAGTTGCCATAGTGCAAATGAGGTTTCATGTGTACAGAGTTCCACTTTAGGTTGTCGAAAATACTGCCTGAGTTTAGTAATTCTTTCAATCTGAAATGCATTCTTTTAGATGTTTGAAAACCACAAATAAACAGTTATTGAACCTTTTTGGATTTACCTCATTTAAACTCAGTTTTTATTTATTACCTGGCCTGTTTTTAATATCGGTGACTAAAAAAAAAAAAGTCAAGTGGGAGCACTGTTTTCATGCAATGCTTAGGGATTATTTGTATATTGTGTACAACGTTGACTTGTTTAAAGAAACACAGAATGAACCCTGTCCCTTCCATCCCAACCTAAACCTGTGCTCAGTTGTCCCTTGCCACACCTTTTGTTTGTCATGTTGTTTTTAGATTGATCGGAAATGCTCTCTTCAAAACTGAAATAAATTAAGTTTCAGTTACAGCTACAGGAGCTTTGTATTGCTGAACTTTAGTCTGAAAAGTTTCACAATGACATTTTTAAAAAAAAAAAAAAATTTTTTTATCTGCTGAATTCTACCAGTGTAACCTTTTTTCTAAATAAACAATAGTTTTCTCAATGGGTCGTAAATCATTCTCTGTGTGGTCACTTTATTGCTTTATGTGTTGTTATGAAAATTTGATATTAGTTGGGATTGTGGGAGAGTGTTTTCTGTCTTTTGCTTCTGAGCCCTCTGTACCTGCTTGCTGATCGGATGCGAAGGGTTAGTTACATAGTGTGGTGCCTATTGTGAAGTGACAAATGTGTTGCGCTTCTCCAGCTTTCTTGAAAAGCTCAGAGTTTGCCTTCCTGCCTTCAGTCAAGTTTTCTATCTTTCTCTTGAGGCATTTGTCCCTTATCCAAAGCTCATGAAAATCTCTGGCACTTTTTGCCCCATTTCCTAATTTAGTCAAATTAGACTGATTTACAGTGTCTTGAAAATGTCTTAGCTTAGTTTGCCTGGTTTAGTTTAATGCCTGACAAAAAAGGGACTCTACCTGCCTTCTGCCATAGCATGGTAGGTCACTTTGGTGAAGCTGCCATCTCAGATGTTCACCTGGGTAAGAAATGTTCAGGTCTGGAAGTCTTGGAAGTCATGTTCATGACTAATTTCCACCCTAGCTCCCCCAAAGTTGTGGATTTCCATCAGTAAAAAGCCTCACTAGTTCATTTAAACTAGAAAACGTGGGTTGTGAAAGAATAGCCGTCTGTGTTCCTTGGAGAAGGGGAGATTCCAATGTCTTGTCCAGCAGCTTTGACTATTTAGTGATTAAAAAGGTCTAATTGGAAGCTGAGATTTTTTGGTCTGGGTGCAGCAGTTTAAATACCCAATGAATATGTATTCACGAAAAAGCAGGAGCTGCTGTTACAGCTAGATTATTGTTCAGTTTTGGAGACGGTGCATCTCGTGCCCTTTCTCTACAGCCAGTTCTCACTCCAGGGACTGCAGGACTGATTGAAACTTCAAGTGCATTTGCTCCTTTGTTTGCCTGGAGCCCTGTGAGACAGCTTTCTGTAACCCCCAGCTAAGTTCTCCTCTTAACTGCACTCAGCAGGTACGATAGAAGAAGTGGTGACCTGGTGGGGGAGAGAGAACTTCCACTTTTAGTGCCATTTACGTGTCGAATTGGTTGAATTGTAATACCAGACTGCACCAAGTAGTGCCTCCTCAGCCTTTGTGTTTACTGCATCTTCTATCTCCTTCTTAAATTCAAATTCTGCTCCTCATCCATTTGGTTTTTCAAAATCGATGCAATAAAACTGTGTTGGGGTGTGGAGGAGAGGATCTGATGCCAGTGGAGGCATTTTACAATATTAACACTGAAATATTAGCAGAACTGTAAAGCCTTACAGCCTTGGTCCTCATGCACATTCAGAAGATGAAGACGCTCTACTATAGTAGTGAGAGCTGTCACAGCTGCTTCCCAAAGGCTGGAGTGAAGTTTTCCTCTCTTTTTAAAAGACACGGCAAATACTAAGCTAATCATAAGTCCCTTTAATTTGAATAATTACTTTAAAAGATGAAGTCATACAAGTGAAGGACCAGTTTCTTGGAGGAGTGTGGGATCTAAGTAGCTTGAAAGTGCTGTAAAGTGGTGATCTTGATAACAAAGACTGAGATTTCTTACTGGTATAACTTCTCTCAGAAAGAGGTTCATTGATGCTTATTGGTGAAATTCATACAAATCAACTTAAGTTTACGCAGGGAGATTGGTTCTTATTGAATGGGCTTGGGAAATGGGGTTTGCTTATGGGGAAGTGTATAAAATACAACTCTGTCAGAGCAAACTAATTTTTAATGATTGCTTTTGGAAACAGGCTTAATAGATTTAGATGTTCAATATTCTGTTTTTGTGAACTTTTAAAATAAAAGTGCACAAGGAAATAAGGGTGACATAAAAAATTTAAACCCTATTTTAAATGGCAGGTTAATTGCTGTATGCTGTGTTTAAACAACACTGGTTTGCTCTATCCAGAGTGTCACACCAGTACTGCTTTTTCCTGTCCTGTTTTCCCACTTGTCCAAAAAGAATCATATATGGGGAGCTCGAGTTTCTGAGGGTCATTTCTTTGTCGAGGAACTGTCTTTGGTGACAGACAGGAGTCTGTCTGTACACGCACAGATCAGGCTGAGGCAGGCAGTGTAGTTTGGCTCAAGAGCCGGTGTTTCTGTGGAGCTTGATCAGTGTTTGTTTGGAATTTGCCTTTAATTATTTTTAAATAGTAAAATGTGTAAGGTACATTCTGTGCTAATCTGGTAATGTGTTTAACAGTATTGAGCCTAATAGAACTTCATCATTAATGAGTTGTTTTAACTGGTGGTTAGCACAACTGATGGTTCACAAAATACGTGACAAACAAGGGGGACAATGTTATGCTGACAACGTAAAGACCTTTTAAATAACTGCAATATAGCAATTTTTTCTCCTTCAAGAATTTTGTTTCTCTTTTAAAAAAAAATGTTCAATGTGCCTTTGTCCGTACCTGCAGCGATGAGCCTGGGAGTTTTCAGAGGTGGTGGGGATCTGAGCTATTGCCATGCCTGAGAGCGTGATCCTGTTGACACTAAAGTAGATGATGGGACTGAGAGGAGATGGAGCAAATGCCTGCCTAAAATTATTGCCTTGTAAGGAGTTGTAACATGACAGATTTTTAGTTGCAGAAGATGATCTTGGCCTACAGGTACTGTGCAGAAAGCAAATTAATTTGTTTTATTCCTAGGAGTGTTTAGAAATAGATTTTTTTTGCATGGATTCAACATTAACAAAAGCAAGCCTATAGCTAATGGAGTATTTCCTGACTATAACGATAAAAAAACTAACCTTTTTGTATTCAAGTATTAGTACTATTAAACACAGAGGCTTACTGGTCTTTTAAATATTGTGGGGTTTTGGTTTTTCTTTTAAATATAATCCAAAGAAAGGGAACTTGAACCCAAAGTTGAGAATCCCTGGTGCTTTGTGAAGGTCAGTTTGTGTCTTGAGTAATCTGGGATTTGGGACAGAGGGGTGTCGTCTTGGTGGCTGTGTTTGGAAGTACTGAATATTAAGAAATTGTAGTGCTTATAGACTTGATCAGTAAAGCTCTTCTGATTAGCTTTGTCTTTATTAATTAGAGGTTATTTCTGAATGCAGTGGAGAAGATTACAAACCATTGTCCCGCAAGTGCAAGACAGACACAGACAAATTGGGAAGGGAATCAGGTGTGAGCTACCCAGCTAATTAGAGGTGAGGAAGAATTACTAAAGAGGAGAGTAGCCAAGCTAAATACTCAGGTGCTTTTAATTAACTCATTAGGGCAGCCTAAAATTAAATACTTCCATCAAAGTCATGCTAGTCCTTGGGATTTACTGGAGTGCAAATGAGATGAGGCTTTGGCTGGCTGACCGTGTGCCTGGCAGCCCACTGGGGCTGCAGCAGCCGGCCTGCCCCAGGGGAGAGCGGGGCACAGGGCTGTCACACCGAGATGGGGTTAAGCTGGGCGAAGAAAAAGGTCACCCTGGGCTCTCTGAACATAGGGTAATCTCCAAACAAAGCAGGAGACTATCTGTCAGCCCAGGCACTTAAAGGTGAGTTGAAACAATCGTTTAAAATTCAGCTTCGAGGAACTGCATACCTGTCCTGGCAGGAGGGTTCGTCCCTCGCCTGCGCTGCCTGCTGAGGTGGCAGAAGCAGCGTGGTGCTTGTACGGGCCCCGTGAGCAGCGGCGGGAGAGGAGAGAGGATGCGGGATGCTTACGCTGACCCTGTCGCTGGTGCAGCAAGTGCAGAGGTGCACCAGCAGCGAACTGCAGCAGTCAGAACAAAATCACTAAACTTTGTGAAAGCACCTGCCGTAGCTGGGATAACTCAGCTGCGCTCTGCAATGTCCTGATTTCCTGATAGGGGCCATAGGAATGTTCATACCTGTGGAAGGGTTTTCTCCTTCCAAGAAAACTTTCCAAAAGAAAGCTGGTGGTTCTTCCCTGCATGGGTCTCTGCAGGGACTGCAGCCGTATGTGTGGAGACATCAGTGAGGGTTTAGGGTGGTTTGACGATGGGAGTTGTAGATAGAGCACAGCTCATGGTGGAAGGAAGACTAGAGACCTTGAGTGGAAATAGGGGGGTCAGCGAGTCCCAGAAAGCACGGAATGAAGGGGACTGTGTTTCCAGAGCTGGCCAGGTTGCATGGCTGTGAGCACCACTGGCCTGCTCATTGAGCCCACCGACTGAATTTGAGAGGGTTGTGGGAAAGAACAGACAAGGCTGGACTGGCGGGAGGGCAGCCCCAGCAGTGCTGTGGTCCTGGCCCATGGCCCTGGGGAAAACCTGGTACAAAGCACCCACTAATGAAGCCCTATTTCTGGTGTGGCTGCTCTGATGTGATATTCTAATTGCTCGGTGTAATCTGCAGCATCTGTGATAGGTCACAGCTTCAGCTATTCTATAATAAGCTATTTTGCCTGAATATTGCAAACTTCCCTTGTTTAAAGGGCAGGGGAATATTAAATAAATACCATTTATATTTATTTGCCTCAGATCAAACTGTGGCTTTTACACTAATTTTGTAGGTTTTTGGTAATTAGCCTGCTCATCCCATATTTGGAATTCAAATCCAATATTTGTTGAAAAGCTTCGAATGATATTAAAATCTGCTCCCCGAGCACACAGCAAACACCTCTCCCTCTCAGAAAAATGCCAGCCCCGTACTGAGAGTTGCCACGGCAGCACGGGTGGGAAGGAGTTGGTCAAATGGAAACAGACTTAAATGGGTGCAAAACCAGGGTGCTGTTGAGCTGGAACCG